AATTAATTACCCGACTATCCCTTTCACTTGAAATTTCTTAGACATTAGTTCTCTAAAAAATGGCTAATCAATTGCCATAAGCCGCAATTATGGACTTAATTTAGTATATCTGAGAAGAAAGCATCAGTGGGGTTCAGTGGTTCACATTTGTATCAATTAGTTTCTTAACAATCATAGTTAATGTAAAACTTACCCAGTTTCTAACAAGGCATAAACTAGACTAATTAGGAGGGGCATATCAGAGCAGGTCTAACCACCCTATATTTTATTTGGTAGAGACTTTAAAAATACAATTGCGAATGTATGCGAAACAGATTAATTAGTTCATCGGTTATTATTATTAAATTATAAAATAATAATATTATTATTGTTATTGTTAATTTTATCACCATCTGATAAGGATGAATATACTTTTCCTAAAATGAAAAGATTAGTACAATCGTTCAAAATGTGCTGTAAGATCAGTATAAAGTTATCAATAATTTTCTTGGAAGATCTTATAAGCACACACACATGAGGAGCTCATAATTGGATTTTAATAATTCACATTGAAAATTAAATCTTGTCAACAAACCTCCTTTGACAATAGCGATTCCAATATAATGTTCGAAATACATCATCAATCTTGCTCAATTATTCACCGACTCTTTTTTTTGAAAATCTCTGCGTAGACCCGATTACGATGCTTAAAGTTTTGACTATTTATTTCTGACCATCTACAGGCATTGTTAAATTGAGGCCGAAATATAAAATACGCGAGACCATTATTATTTGCTTACCTTTGGGCGACTATTTTATCCAGAAAAAGAAAATTAAAAACAAAGTTCAAAGTGGTGTTAACAAGACAATGTCCACTGTTTTAAATATATAGCTCGCTATATAGCTCATTATAGCTCGCTATATTATTTTTTTTTTCCAAAAATCGCGACATAACTTTATATATTTAGCGTTTTGTCCGAAAATGTTACGCAAAATGCTGAAATAGCACGTTTTTTTACGCTATTTTGCATTGTAGAATCAAATATTCAAAAAGCTTGTATTTTTTTAGGGATTAGAGTTATATTTTTTAATGACTAAAAACTAAAAACTTTGATAATAATTTCAAATTAAAAGTTTGAAAATGTAAAGTCTTAAGTTGAATAGTGCGATATATATCGGTCCAGGTCTACCGCATTATTATATTTTTGGGTATTTGACATTTAAATTTGAGAACTAAATTCTAATTAAATTAAAAATATTAATTTTAATGTATATGCTTAAAGTTAAATTATGACCTATCTTATTATATTTTCGTTGTTTGTTTTTACTTTTAAGTGTATTCGCTTTGTTATTTAAATATTTATATTATGATATTACATTAAATCTTTGTAAGAAATAATTCCTAGATGTTATTTTGAGTTCATTCAAATATTATGATGACTTTTAGAATCAACCATCTAGTTTTATTACATGCAAGTATATATATAATGTAATTATAAAAATAATATTTTATACTCAGATAGTTATCGCAACACGCAACGCTATTTACGCTATGCAGTATAAATATCAAAATGCGCCGCATTACGCTATACGCGTTTTAAAACATTGGTCGTGTCCCAATTAAACACCAAGTATAAGATTAACTAGTACGGGTTCCGTGTGATCGTGCAATAGCACAGATAAATAATAATTAATAATACTTATAAATTTTAAGTATATAATTAACATGTAATGCGATTTATCCTACATTATTAACTTGTTGGAAATTACCAAATGCTAACCATTCTTAATTAATTGAAGCTAATTGAAAATTAATTTGTGTAAAAATATATAAAACATGTCTATCTAAAAAAATATCTAAAATGTCATATATTACGTTTAAAAATACCTAAAATTTTCTATATTATTGGTGGAAAATCACCTAAACTTTTTTAAACTATTCTTGAAAAATATGTCTGAAAACATTTCATTGTATGTCATTTTTTAATCACTATCTACTTGCATAAATAAAATAGATAAGACACTCATTTTATATATCACATGATTTTTATCTCGGTTTTGCTATGAAGCCAACAGTTGGCTCCATAGAAAAATCGATTCTTATTATACATCAGAATGAAATGGGAGTGTTTATATATTTATTATAAAATAAATATATATAATTTAATCGACCATATCCTTATTGATTAATAACTAAAATGAAATCAATATATCAAATTGAAGTTAAATTAAAAAAAAAAAAACACAAACATGTATTATTATTTGATTTGAAGGGTATTTATTTTTAGATTTAGAAAGTTTTTGTTATCGTAAGTATATGAACTATAAAATTGAATAAACTCAAGATTCTTGATAAGATGAAATTTTTACATAAAAATGTTTACATATACCACGGATAAGTTTTTATTAATTACCAATTTATTTATTCCATAAAACTTCAACTTAGATGTGATAAATAAGTTTTTATTTATTTCAGTTATCAGTAATTGTATACAATATAAACATTATAATATATTTAATAAAATTGCAGAAATTAAAATTGATTCCAATATAATTTTTGGCAATCTTCAATAAATTTTATTCAGCCGGCAATTAATAATAATATGAGTTCATTTAATAAAAATATGTTCACCATTTAATAACAATATGTAACTTTCCGTTACACAATTTATTTTGACAGATCCCATTTTGGATGCTGCCCGTTTCTGTAACGCCTTTTTATGTCCTGAAATACAAAATATTTTTATTTTTATATTGATACTATATATTTTTTAGTATTATATAAATATATACTAGTTTTACCCTGTTCATTTGCACGAAAAGCGATATAATATAAGAGAAAGAAATTAAAAATATAGATTAAAATAAAAATCATAACTTAATAAATGAGAAAAAAATAATTTTAAAAAGTGAATCTAAATATTATTGAACACTTCTTTATATATAACATTCCTGGTTTTTAAAATAAATTGTGTAACCAAAAGTTACATATTCTTATTAAATGGTGAACATATTTTTATTAAATGAACACCTATTTTTATTAAATGAACTCATATTATTATTAATTGCTGACTGCATAAAATTTATTGAAGTTTGTCAGCAATTATATATATATATATATATATAGAGAGAGAGAGAGAGAGAGATTTCACAATTAATTAAGAATGACTACAAATATCTCCATTTTCTATTGCAGTCATATAATAATAAAAAAATATTTTTTCAGATATTACAAAGATACATCAAATATTTTGAAAAATCAAATTCTAGAGTCACGAGTCGAAAAAGTTTAACGATAATGATTTGTTGTGACAAGGAATTTGATGATAGAAAAATCACGACGATTGCATATGAAGAAGTGTTTAGTAATATTTAGATTCGTTTTTTTAAATTATTTTTTTTGCTGTATGATTTTTATTTTATTCTATATTTTTAATTACTTTCTTTTCTATTATAATACTTTTCGTGCAAATGCACGGGGAAAAACTAGTTACAATATTATTATGACAAACTGAATAATGTGAATTGTGTGAATTTGTAAGAATTCCTGTGATCCCAAGTCGGGACATGTAGAGAGGATTCCAAGACAAGCGGCGCCTAAATAGGTATTTTCACTAAAGAAAAATATCTTATTCCAATAAAAAGTTTAATGGTAAAATATTTTAATGAAAATTCAAACAAATATTCCAACGAGAATTAACTCTAAAATGTTTCATAGGAATTCATTTTTCCTATTTTAGTTGAAATTTAATAATTACGTCGACTATTTTTCCAACAGTTTATTGTTGTAGGTGTAAGAGAATTATATTTGGAATTTATCAAAAATAATATTTTTTTATTTATTTGTCGAAATAGGTAACAAAGAATTAACGCATGAATGGAAAGAGAAGATCTCTAACTTAATTTCCCACATTTTATTTATTCTCTTACTATATATTGGGATATAATGATATTGCTTTTACTTGTAGAAAAAGGAATTAATTTAGAGAATAAAATGAGGAAGAAGAGAAGATTTTGAAGTTGAGAGCAAGAAAATTTGAACAAGTAATGAAAGAAATTGAGCACAAGATATTTCCAATAGTGGACAATAAAACATGGGAAAAAAGTTCCACAATATTGAAGAAAGAGGAACATCATTAAAACTGAAGATTCTAGAGAAGATATTCGTGCATGGACTCTTGCAAGGCATGAAGGTTTAGTAACCAAACCCGAACGAGAGGATTGAAATTTCAAAACTCCTTTCTAATGAGCGCACATACTATATGTAAAGTTTAGTTTCACGAACTCTGGTCATTGAACGAACTATTTCATAATTCATACAAAGTGTTTAGAGTATATTAGTATGTACTCTTGCGATGCACGGCGCTTTTATTATCTACTTGCTTTTTAAAATGTAGTTTTTCATTTAAATTGTCTAACAAATGAATAATCATTACATTATAAGTATCATGAAAATGAAATTTATATATTATTGAACACTTTGTTATTTACAACATTCTTGGTTTTTATAAGGTTCGTTTGATGATACATGGAAAAAGTATACATCTTGAACAAGAGAAAATCATCCCAAATTCTCAAATCATATAATTCTAAAATAAGTGTAAATTGTTTATAATGCTTTTTGACACGATGACTACAAACTTAAATGTTCACTCGATTATGAAATATTTACTAACCTGAAAACTTTTCATATGAATATAAAATGTCTACAAATGAAAATAAATTAAAGATCTATTTCATGTGAATATAAACTATCTACAAACAAATCAATAATAAATTAATACAGGTTAATCTCAAATCAACACTTCTAACTTCTAAGTTCCAACACATTTATAAAGTGTGCAAATAAAAATCAATATTTCGACTTTTATATTACTCTTTTCATGACGCCTATCCGATTACAAAGCCGAATCAAAATTAAAACCATGCAGAGGAATACGCCTGAATTTATTCAAACACAACAATAAAAGATGTACATAAATAATAACATGCTTATTTGTAAACCCAGGAAAATCACAGAAATGGTCACCAACTCATAGACATATATAGAAAATATGATTATGCTTCACCCATAACTTAATTAAAATCCTCATAACAGGCATATTATAACTTTCTTTCAGGGCATTTTAGTAATTTCTGGGGGAGATGGAATACTCGGCTGCCCGCCCGGAAAACCAAACCCGAATCCCGGACTCGATGGATTAGGGAATGTGGGCATTCCGCCAGGGAAATTCGGAATTCCAAAGCTGGGCATTCCTGGAATTCCCAAGTTAGGCATTCCTGGAATTCCGAAGCTTGGAATCCCAGGAATTCCAGGGATTGTTGGAGCCAAAAGACGGCGACTGGTTCCTCCTGCTAAGGCCTTGCTTTCCGGGCCTGGAAATGAAAGGGCGGCGAGAACAAATACGGCCAGAAATTTTAAAGGAGACATTTTTTCTTCTTAGTTATGTGTTTGAATGAGTGCTAATGTGCTATTGTTCGGTTTGCAGCAAGAATGAGAAAGATTGTTGGGTTTTTATAATTGGTAAAAGCAATGTAGTAGCATTTAATTTGCTGGTATTGGCATTTCATGGCTCAGTGGGGTTTAAAGGGTTGTTCATTGTTGATATAGTATAAGAAAGTTAAGTTGTCCAAGATAATAAAATTAAATAAAAAGAACAAAATTTGCAATTATTTTTCTGTTGTTATTTTTAGGTGGTTTTATCTTCATTAAAAGGGATATATGTATAAAATTTCTTATTGATATGTTAGACTTATTTTAATTTTATTTACAAATTCTTGTATGTGATAAATGTAAAGTNTATGGTTTGAAGTACTATATTTTTATTTAATTTTATTGTTCAGTACATGACATTTCACTTTGAAAATATACATATCTCAATGTTTATTTAAATTTTAAACCTGATTAAACGTTGTCACGTGACTTAATCGTTTGTCGGATCCATTCGTCATTATTATTTTTAATAAATATAAACATTTATACAGTAAAATTTTATATTTTTTAAAATGTGACATGTACACAATCAAAATCAATAAATGTTTGTTGCAACTACCACCTACAAATCCCTAAGTAGTAAATTAGAACAGATCTACTGCAGCAATCAGATGCCTAAGAACCGATTATAGAAAAGTTTTAAGTTTGTGAGTGCAAAATTATGTGGTTTAATTATTTAATTACTATTACTAGTCTGATATTCAAATTATTATGCAGATGTCGTGCAGTTCTTTTGGGCCGCTTGCCAATTGCCATTGACTATTACTGGCGTACGGTCTTTATGGTTATGCGGTTTAATTATTTCATTACTATTTTATTGCTGGCATTGAACATATGTCACATCTCAATACAAAAATACAAGAAATCCCATCAACTCTATACAAGAATTTGTGTTCCCATAACATAAGTTGAAACCAAAAAACAACAGCAACTAAAGATTTAAATCAAAGTTGATCAACTTTATTTGAGTTACTACTTACACATACCAAAATTACACGAGCCAACAGAACGTCTTCACTTCACCGAGCAGCAACAAGACAGACAGCAACCTACAATTACAACCAAAAATTGTCTACAATTCATTAAGCTGCCTTGACACCCTTGTCATCACCCACAACATTAAGAATCGGAAGGCTGCTCAGAAACTCGTCGAGACCCTCAAAAAACCCAATCCCCTCAATATTGTTTTCATCTTCCCCACAGCCCGACCCATTTTCTCTGTCCATCTTATGAGCAGACTCTTCCAGCTCATTGCTAAACTCCACATTCAGATCCAACTTCCCGAAATTCTTCGCAAACCTTCCAGGCTGCAGCTTCCTGGCATTAACAGCTGCCCCTTTTTTACTCAATTCCGGGGAAACTTTATTAGGCGTCTCATCCACGTTTTTAGAAGCCAACCCATCTTGAACATTTACGGTCTTACCCTTATCAGCTTGTGCTTTCTTTGCACTCTTGCTTGGTGTCCCCCCACTAACCCCTTTCCCTTTCACATTATTCTTGGCCTTTTTTCTCCTTTTCTCTGTATCTTTCTGCCAGTCAGCATCGTCCGACTCACTCGAGTCCGATACCTCCACATAAACATCATCTTCATCATCAATGTAAACCCTAGGAGCTGAGTTCTTTCGTACAGTCTTTTTAACAGCAGCATTGTTACTACCGGAAAACGGCTGTGGGCAAGTGAACAATGGGGAAAATGGAGTCCAAGTTGATGTTGAATTTGAACCCCTGTTTTTCTCCCAGTTTTCCATGGAAAAGCCCATGGGTAAAAAACCCCAGCAGTAAAAATACTCCTCTCGCCCATTCAAAACCGGCGGAGGGGATGGAATTACCACTGCCTGAAATGCCTTGGTACAATTTTGGCAGCGCAAGGTACAGTCGGCGTAAATTGTAGGATACTCGTACATGTGAAAACAATAAGGGCACGCGGTCCACATTGTAGAGCCATCACCTATTTCTGGTGAATCTACTCTATCCTCTTCCTCATCTACTCTTTCACCATCCTCCTGATTTTCAGCTCTTTCTCCTACATTCTCACTCACATTTGCACGATTACTGGTTTTATCACCAATGTTAGTGTAGTTTTGTTGTTGTTGTTGGTTATTAGGATTAATGTTATTATTCACTTGCTCCTGTGTTGCCTCAGATGCTGCAGCCGCATTACCAGAAAAAGTTGAATAATTTTCCGGCATATGCTTATTAGCAGGTTCAGGGATGGGTTTAGAACCAGATCCGGACCCGAAATCAAGATTAGTACCCGAATTGAAATTCATAAAATTCTGAGGTTTCCTGGCTGACCTAGCGCCCACTGGTTCAAGCTTAGGTTGAGGGGTTGCATGTACCTGTGCCTGGGAGAAATTGACGCCGGCGGCCTGCGGCTGAGGAGCAGTAGCAGGAGCGAGTCCAGTCGAGGTGCTACCTCCGAAAAACATGACTCTCTGTTGCGTTGCCGGGATAGGATTGTTAAACGGGTCGGGTCGAGGCTGGAGATAGAAAGCAAGCTCTCTATCGTAAACGGATTTCCGGGAAGGGTTTGAGAGCACGGACCAGGCGTCCAGGACGAGCCGGAAAGCTTGCTCGGCAAATGGGAATCTGTTCTTCTGAGGGTTCAAGAGGAGGGCGAGGCTCCGGTACTGATTGGCGATGAGGTCGGTGTCCCGGCCCTGCTGCGGCGACACACGGAGGATCGCGTACCAGTCGTGCTGGTTGTTTCCGATCCGTCGGTCTCCGGCGAGGAGAGTCTCGGCGACGGCAAGGATTTGGTCGGCAGGGGTGAGCGAGGGATCGGAGTCACGCGCGCGGCCCGCAAAGGATTTGCTCCCCAGGAGGTCACGCGCCGAGAGAAGCTTCTCGGCGATACTCAGCCACCGGAGGGCTTCCGCGCGGGTGGTGGGCGTCGGGAAAAATGAGTGTTCCATTTTATTTCGGCTTTCTGTGGTAAGGTCAATTTTGGTGAGGGGAGAGGAAAATGGAAACTCTATTCTGAAAGAGGGGAAATGAAATTGAGGGAGAAGAAGATGCTTTTGAGTGAAAGGAGCGAACTTTTTGTTGGGTGGACGAAAAGGGTATGGGACTTTTGAAAAAAGCGGCACCGCGTGAGGGGGACGATGAGGGTAAAAATGGAATTTGGGATGAATATTAATGCTGTATGTCGTTTATGTACATACTGACGGACACATTTTCAGAATCGAGTAGTGATTGTTTCCCAACTTTCTGACATAGGAAAAAGGAAGTTGCGGAAAAGGAAAATTGGGTTTAAATTGTGTTCCATTTTCTACGATAATATAATATATCTAGGCACTGGACCGAGTAATTTGGTTATAAATATTTCGACGAATTTTGTAAATGTGAAAAATAATTTATTTGATTCTATAAAGTTTATTAATAGATTTAATTAACTTTTAGAAAATCAATAAAACTTGGAAAGTGTGGCCAAAAAAAAAATTTACTGAAGTGCGATTGGATATGTTTGGATATGTTTGCAGGTGTAATTCATTTTGTACGATTTTTCAAATGAGGAAAGAGAAACACCATAAAATTGCCTCAAATATATCTTCATATAAATATCTCTATATAGATCTACATAATAATTTCATGTAAAGTATTAAAATACCAGAAAATGCTACAATTTCGTTACATAATTATTTCGTTGGGATTTGTAACTGTTAGGTGTACATGTAGATTAATGTACCATATTCATCTATCGGCTGAAAATTTCAACTGAATGGTTCCATAACGGGACTGTAGCCTTACTCTAAAATACCACACATTGAATTCAGAATAATTTGATGTAAATAAATTTAGATTCTTTCATCATGTACATATATTATGATTGTTACAATATCTAAAAAATTCATGTGATAATATAACAAATATCGGCAAGTTTGTTAACTAAATGATAATTTTATACCAATAATATCATTTTTTATAAAATCACATTTGATTTTAAATGTTTCATTATTAATTTCGAAGAAAATTTAGCCTAAATCTATTTTCAGATCCCTATTTTATTCATAACTTAGAATAACATTTTATTTCTTAGATAAATTAGTTTTTAGTTTAATTTATTAGTTCATAATCATCATGTAAATATGTGTTAGCCTAGATAATATTTAAGCATTGCTAATTTGATATTTAATTAATTTAACTAAGATCTTTGTAGAATACGAATTTGTTCGCTATTATCTATAACTACGTCGTACACTTGCAGATAGCGAATACAGATACATTAAAAATATAAAATAAAATAAAATAAAGCACACGAGATTGGAATAGGGGACCAGAATTTCTAAAAAATTCCTAAGTAGAGGAAAACAAAATATCAAATGCATAAAGAGAAAACTAACAAAAAACAATAGTATTCAAATTTTTAAAACTTAAGTTATAAAATTTCCTTATTACCTCTTTTATGAGTTAAATCAGAAAGATATAAAATTTCTCTACTACTTATTTTATAAGTTGTCTCATCAATCTATATATATTGAAAGAGGTTGATAGAATAATTTAAAATAATAACTTTAACTGTACAACTAAATATGTTGACTTACTATTAAAGAAAGTATAGTAATAATTAATTAATACTTATAAAAAATAATATCAAGTTATACCTAGCTGTTGTAAATTGTACAATTCGGCTAATAGCACGAGTTTCTATATAAATAAAATTATTTTTTGATAATTATCGCAATAAAATCTGATTCTTCATATTAATTACAAATCTTTGCAATTTCTTATTCTTTTGGTAACCAAACAAATAATATATGTTCAAATAAAGAAACATAATCTATTAAATAGGATTTGGTTAAAAAAATATTATTTCAATATGCATGATAAAATTACAAATATAGTTACAAAGTAAAAATTAAAAATCCATTACGGAAGTTTAGGGATATTTATCACAAGGTTATAATAAAATCTTAAACATTAATAAAAAATCACCGTGATTTTTTATTCATTTGGTAACCAACCATGTACAAAAATATTTTTATTGCATATTCAAAAATCATTTAATCGAAAGAATTAGTTTAGAATCATTTGACTTATCAATAGCTTAACCGATTTAGTTTTTCAAAAAATATCAAAGTAATTTCCCTAAATATCAAAAACAAAAAATTAACTATTTATCCTTAATAACAAACCAATCTTTATCCTTAATAACAAATCATGAGTTTTGTTGTTTTGTTGGAATCTAGTCATATGCACACCGAAATATGCCTGCGTGAGAATATTGTAATATATGAGTACAAAATAAATGTAGAAATCAATTGCTAAAGTCTTATTGATGATATAACTACCACAATATTACAATAGAATTGATATCTCAACATAAACAACAAATCCCTCTAATTTTCTATTGAATTTGGTAACGAGTCATATACCAAAAATCATTTATTCAACAGTTCAAAAATACCTTTGATTTTTCCAATAACTGCAGCGAACCTGTTTTTAAAAAATTCATCCCGCGCTCAAAATATCATAAAAAATATTATACAAATTAATTATTAAAAAGAAAAATTTAAAAATAAAATACATTTTATAAATTATAAGAAAAAATGCAATAATATTGATGTAATTAAATATTAATAATTTTATTTAACTTCAGAATAATATATATTACAATCTTTTTCAATTAAGTATTGCTCATAATATTTACCACAATTTTTCAAGTTTAGCATAAATTATTTAGAAATCAAAATAATATATTGAAATAAAGTATGAGCAAAGAAAGATAGACAAAGAAATATTTTGTGCGAATTATTTATTGATAATATTTAAATGTGTTATTTTTCAGTATCCTTTGGTAAAATAAGCATATAACTTATATATTAAATTATTATATATCATAAAATAAAAGAAAAAAATAATATCAATATTCAATACTTTTTCTATGCCAATCAATATTCCTTCATTACTTTAATATATTCAATTTATTATAATTATTGCCCCATGCATAACACGGTATACGTACTAATTTGTATGTGAAAGATAAAAACATACTTGAAAATTTCTCTTATTATAATTTGTCTCATACAAGATATGTATGTGAAAGATAATAACATAACAATCTCCATATCAATTTTTTTCTGAATGATAATGCACTAGGTATAGACTAGGGCTACAAACGCGTGAGCCGCTAGCGAGCGCTCGAGTCGGGCTCGGGTTTGATCGAACTCGAGTCGAGCTCTAACCCATATTTTGTATTGTCGAGCGCTCGTCGAGCGACTCGATATATATATTAAATTATTAAAATACCTCTTATATATATATTTAAATAGTACAACACAAGCGCTTAATGGTAATTTCACTTAAAATTTTTGAGTCGAGCTCGAGCTTCATAAATCGAGCTCAACGAGCTCTAGCAGCTAAAAAAAAATTCAATCCTGCTCGATAAGGCCAATGTTCGACTCGGCTCCGCTTGTTTGCAGCCCTAGTATCGACATACCATGACCAGGGCGGGACGGGGTTGGCTACCCGGTCTTAATTTTTTGTTTTATCTAAATATATAGTAGTGAAAAAATATTTTAACTTATGTTTTATTAATTTAATTAATGATAAAATAAAGTAATCCATATTAATTTAAATCCCTCTACATCTTAATAAAGGTAGGTTGAGGGACCTCATGTGGTGCCACGTGGCTAGGCTAAAAATTTTTGGTGAAAATGTTTTTCATTTGGTGTGAAGAGCCGGAAATTTTGAATAGAGAAGAGCACTTTGAACTATAGTTTGTTTAGCCTAAATAACCCTTACTGGGCCCCATTGTACTTATTTATTCTACATTTCATCTCCCCTTGATTTTTTCCCTAAATTTTATTCTACATAAAATAAATAATTATATGATAAAATTTAGGCAAATCTATAAATTCAAAATTTTAACTAATTTAACAAAATAAATAATTTTATTAGCAAATAATTTGTCAAAATAATAAAAAAAAATAGAAACAAAATTAATTGTGGAAAAAAAAAATTGTAGTGCACTGAGCAGTTCAGTACTATATTAGCACAATAGTATTTACATTATCATACGAAAATGTAAAGCACAATTTCAAAGTGAGTTGCATCGTTGAATAGAGTTGCTCTTAGACCTTTTATTTTTATTTTTTATATGACTACGCAAAATTTTAGGGTGTGATTGGATACATAAATTTTCATAAAAAACGACTATACATGTTTGAATTGGAAAAAAGTTTATATGTCTTGAGTAAATGTTTTTTAGACCATATTGCAAGCATGGGGTCCACCACTAAAAAAAATAAAATAAAAAAAATTTGTTGGCATGTCTCCTCACCTACACTATAAAAAAATAAATAAATAAAAAGAAAAAAAATTGTGTCTTATTGTTAGAAAACACCCATCTTCTTTTCATCCCAAAATATACCAGCTTTAAGAGGAAATTGTTTTATGGCATTGTCTATCAATGAAAAAATGTTATTACAAAATTTTAATACAATTGAGAAAATATCACATTAAAAAATTATTCATTATAAAATAGGTCGGGAGCCTATACATGCTGAAAATCGAGACAATTGGAGGCCCCTTGTGGTCAAACCTATTACACATGCAAAATAAATAGTTTTCAAACCAATTAATAAGTGTGATGGGTTTTACAACAAATTGGTCATCACATAATTACATAAATAATGTTTGATCAATTGCCTTTGGATTTTGAGAACTAAAAGTCGTGTTTTAACAGTCCTCTGTGGGTTCAATTGTTTGTCGTATAAATTTTGGGAGTATAACCTTCAAACATAAATGCGTGTACATTTTAATAACTGGACTTGCAGGAACTCTTGGCGTGGCACGTGGTCAATTTCCCCACTTTGTAAGTGCTACTATATCTAATGAGAGCATCATTTTGAACTGTGTTATTTGATCTAAGTTTTTTTTTTTTTTTTTTTTTTTTTTTTTAATTTATTTTAAAGGAGTTGATTCTATTACTTTTAGGCAACCTCATCAATAACTCTTTCATGTGTGGTTTTGGGATGTCTTTTTTCGTAATGTTTAATATTTTTTGTTTGTTGCTAAATGTTTCTTTTTTGTTAGAAAAATATCTCACTGACCACAAGCGTTCATGACTTTGAATATGAGGAATCACTTTTCTCTTTTCATACCTAAATTCCTATTCATTTGTTGCATTCCATCCACTTACTCTCATCTCATATGAAATGACGCATTATAATTTATTTAATTACAAGTATATTATCCATTTTCAAAAGAATAACATATCGGCTTTAAGAGGAAATTGTTGAAGGTAATTTTTTTTTCAATGATGAAATGTTATTATAAAATTTTAACACATTTGGTTAGATATCTCTATCCATTACAAAATAGGTTGGTAGCCCGTATATGCTGAAAATTGAGATAAATTGGCAGCTCATTGTGCTCAAAGCCACAAACGAATTACACAAGTAAAACAAATAGTTTGTAAACCACTTAATAAACTTGGCGGATTTTACGACAAATTGGTCATCACAGAAATAATGTTTGACTAATTATTTTTAATTTTGAAAACTAAAAGTCATGTTTTAACCATTTTGTGTGGGACCATTTTTTGTTGTATAATTTGTTCATGACATCAATGTTTTCAGGTGCATTTGTAAGCATAAGTTCTTTTTCAACAGTCTTTTGATGCAATTTTGGATCTATTTGTTAAAAATTTTGAGAATATTATATTCAAACATAAATATTTTGGTATTATGGGCCGGTTGTGCGTCGCACAACCAAGAGATTCCTAGTTTATTTAAAATTAAAACAAAAAATATACATATTTTGTTGTCATGTTTTCTTTTTTGTTTTCAATTTTTTTTTAATGTTTGGTTTGAAACACTTGAGAATTGGAAAAATTCCGTTACGGAATCATTCCGTCAAGTGTTTTAGGCTGTGTTTGTTCAAGGAAAAACTGAAATCAAATTAATTCTACTAAAAGTCTAACTCAAGTTTAACTCAACCCCACTATCTTCAATTTTATCAATATTATAATCAAATATTAAATATTACCAACCAATTATTTTTACACATCATATCAACTTTAATCAACTATTTATCCACTCACATAATTTTAACTAACTATCACTTTATATTATCTATTTCTTACTTTTACATCATACAAATTTTAATTATTCTAATATAAACTCAAATTCCACGAAGAACTAACTATACCATTTTTTCTAAATTAACACTAAAAAACGCATCAATAAATGTGATGGGTTTTACAACAAATTGGTCATCACATAAATAATGTTTGATCAATTGCCTTTGGATTTTGAGAAATAAAAGTCGTGTTTTAACAGTCCTCTGTGGGTTCAATTGTTTTTGTCGTATAAATTTTGGGAGTATAACCTTCAAACATAAATGCGTATACATTTTAATAACTGGACTTGCCGGAACTCTTGGCGTGGCACGTGGTCAATTTCCCTACTTTGTAAGTACTACTATGTCTGATGAGAGCATCATTTTGAACTGTGTTATTTGATCTAAGTTTTTTTTTTTTACCTTTTCTATTTATTTTAAAAGAGTTGATTCTATTACTTTTAGGCAACCTCATCAATAACTTTTAAGAATTATTCCGCCGAGTGTTTTAAGCTGTGTTTGTTCAAGAAAAACTAAAATCAAATTAAATCTACTCAAAGTGTAACTCAAGTTTAACTCAACCTCACTATCTTCAATTTTATCAATATTATAATCAAATATTAACAACTAATTTTTAAATATTACCAACCAATTATTTTTACACATCATATCAACTTTAATCAACTATTTATCCACTCACATAATTTTAACTAACTATCACTTTATATTATCTCTTTCTTACTTTTACATCAAACAAATTTTAATTATTCTTATATAAACTCAAATTCCACAAAGAACTAAATATACTACTTTTTCTAAATTAACACTATTTAATTCAAAAAACATCACTTTGAATTAATTCACTTAAATTATTCATTCAGAGAAATTCTACAATCTACTTACGGAACCATTCCGTTGGATTAGTAATCATTAGATTAACTATCCACGATTACATGATAATCTAACTATCCACGATTACATGATAATCTAACAGTAGTAATCGTTAGATTAACTATCCACGATTACATGATAATCTAACTATCCACGATTACATGATAATCTAATAGTTACAACAGAATGGTTCCATAACAAAATTGTAACATTTCCCATTCTTTTAACAAACACACCTTTAACCATTAGATCATCTATTAACAATTAAAACAACCCGTCGGGTTTGATACCGTAATCAATGGTTCCGTAGCTTTTCCCTGAGAATTGAAAGCATAATCAAAGAAAAAAGAAATGAGAAAAAGGAAACAAGACGAAATTAGCGCAGACTTATAAATTGAAAGCATAATCAAGATTCCAAACATGCTTTTAAGAACTGAAAGCACAATCAAGATTCAATGGAAGGAGAAAGAAGACAAGACAAGAATTACTGCAAGATTTTTATTATACAAAGGCAATTCCGATTACATATATGTCAAACTGCAATTCACATCACCTCCAGAACACAAATCACACAAAATGCAGTTGACATAAACATCAAATTTATTGTTAATCACAATCAAACAAGAAAACCATCAAACACATTTATTCAATTAATTCTCCTTTTACGATTTTTTCCTCAGCCAGAGATGTCAATCGCTTTAACCTCAGGTTTCTTGACTTCCTCCTTGGGCACAGTCACCGTGAGCACCCCATTCTCCATGGCCGCCTTCACCTCCGCCAGCTTGGCATTCTCCGGCAGCCTGAAACGGCGGAGGAACTTGCCGGAGCTCCTCTCGACACGGTGCCACTTGTCGTTCTTCTCCTCTTGCTCTTTGCTCCTCTCCCCACTGATCTGGAGAATTGAGCCGTCCTCAACCTCGACCTTGACTTCCTCTTTCTTAAGGCCAGGAACATCAACCTTGAACAGGTGAGCCTCAGGCGTCTCCTTCCAATCTATGCGCGCGTTCGCCACCGCCGACGCGTCCCGAGTGGCGGAGAGCGGGAATCCCTCGAATGGGTCCCACAAGTCCAGCGAGAACGGGTCGAATAAGTTGTTGCTCCGGCGGTTGCCAAAGAAGCTTGGGATCAGCGACATTTTTTTTCTTTTTTGGTGTGTGAAAATTAGAGAGCAGATTTGATTGATCGATTAGAGATTTCTGGTGTTGGAGAAATTCTGGGTGATTTAGATGATGGAGTGAGGAGTATTTTATAGTGGTGAACGGAAAGAGCAGGCGAATTCGCGTAAATTCTCGGGGAAAGACTCGCGTGTTCTAGAGTATGCGTGTCCTCTCCATCCACTAAGACATTTCATTGTTCAGTTATTATTAAAGCCTTCACGAATTCATTTATTTTTTGAGTCAGCATAAAATTGTCATGTCAACGGCCACGTCAACAGACAAAGTCTGAAATTAAGTCATGTATGTTGACAAAGTCTGAAATTAAGTCACGTGATTTGAATTGCCAACAAATAGTTAAAGTGTGTTATATTTGCTAAATTTCAAAAATTTGGTTACAACTGCAAAAAGTTGTAAAATCGTGATATTACCGATAATTAGTCCTATTAACTATAGTTTCTTTTGCAGAAAAAAAAAATCTTGACATTTTTATATGCTAATTTATAAGATATAGGAGAAAGAACGAAAAAAATATGGATAATAGTTATGACATTTTTTTTATACTAATTAAATAAAATATAGAGGAAAGAGCAAAAAATAAAAATGGATAATAGTTTTGATTATTGATGTGTCGGCGACTTGATTATAGGTGAGTCGGCTAGTTGAAAGCTCCGATCTACCTGACAGCTGTAGAGACCTGCAAAAGGGGTTGAGAGAGTTTCCCGGCGTTAGGACTCCGACGTTCAAGTTAGTACAGGGAAAGATGAAAGCTCTATTTGTAGAGAATGTATTTAACATGTAGAGAGAATGTAGAGTATTTCAGGTGTACCTCAGCCCTTTTTATAGGGATAACCTATTGCCCGTGGTCACCCTACCCAGCTGCTCGGGGTTGATCTTATCTTCATCCTAATCACATCCAAGTCATCATTAGACTTCTTCTTATTCCCTGTGAACCTATTATGATCATCAGATCGTCATTACCATCTCTTTAAATCACAGAGTCGAGTTACCTCATTGGGTCATCTTTCTTCAGGCAGTCTGAAGGATTCAGGTAGTTAGCAGGACTCTAGGTCGTCCGCGTACCATTTAGGTCGTCTGAGTATCAATTAGATCCTCTTTGTGCTATTTAGGTTGTCTGTGTATTTCCCATGTCCCCCGGATATCGTCTAAGTCGTCCATACTCTCCATAAGACAACCTCTAGGTCGTCTCAACTATGAATAGGTTGGCTAATCTCCCAGTCGACCTATTCATACATGGTGTTACTGTGATTAGCACAATTATGGCTATATCAATTATGGGTATGTCATGCAAATAATAAAAAGAATAAATAATGAGTATGATTTTAATTGGAAATAAAAACAAATACTTAATGACATAGTAAAATTAAAAGCACATTTGGAATCTCAATCCAGGCCAAACCCTAGAAATCCCTAAATTCTTCATTTAACCCTAATTGGCTTCATAACACTAAATTCATCACTATAGTCGGTCATCTTCCCCAACTTTTGCATCTTCATCACCATAACTCAAAGTTCACTCCATCTTCATTTTTTTTAAGCTCTAACTTCCTATGAAAATGTCGTTCTCATCTCATACAAATCAAAATTCTCAACATTGTGGGTCTTTCAATTACCCTGTGCAAAACCAGTGCCGCCACGGTAAAGTGACGGATGTTCTCACCACCATGACTGACGACAATTTATGTAGGAGTTTCTACAAGTGTCGGGTTAGAAAGGTAAATTATTATTGTATTATCTAATGCATTTTTTTCAGCATAAGTATATATATATATATATATATATATATATATATATATTTTCTGCAAATAAGTTGAAACATGAATGTGAACAATTGGATGAAAATTGGTTTTTTCTATTAGGTTTGGCCTCTAATTGATATGCAGTAATTTGATGATTGTGGTTTGTTCGAATGGATTGATCAATCATTGCCTTAGTTTCAAAAGACATGTCTCATAATATTGAAGGCTTTAAAAGAGGCTTTGGAAGAAAAGTTACAGGGCAATGTGGCCATAGAAAAATTGCACAACGACAAGTCGAGTGTGAAAGAAACAAGCTTCGGTAGGGTTGAGAAACTTGAAAATAGAGTGAAAGGTATTGAGATTAAAGGTGACAAGAATGTTGCACTAATTTTGGTTCTTGAGAAGACCTTAACTCAAGTGCAAAAACTAGAAAGGAAAATTAGTGATGTGATGATTTGTTTGATTGTTGTTGTTTTGGTTCTTGTTGTGAGTGTGTTTGGTAGAAATAGTCATGTCCATTATCTGAAGATGTTAAACTGAAGGGTTGTGCTGAGTGATTTTTCTATTTTGTTGAATTTATTTTTCTTAGATTTTTATGGTGGATTATGGATTATGTTAGGTTGATATATGTAATGGAACTAGAATCCTCTTATGTAATATTTTGCAGAAATGAAATGTTATTACTATCTAATTAAACATGCCGAAACATGCCTATTATAAATGAGTGTTATGATAGTTTATTTCGGCACTCGTGTTCTTGTTGATCCTTGTTTTGATTATGTTAGGTTATGATAGTTTATTTGAACACTCTTATTTCAATCTAGTTAAACATGCCTATTCTAAATGAGTAATATAATAGTTTTTTATGCACTCTTAGTTCTGCCCATAGCATCTTTTCTTTTTTTCTTTTTATGGCAGTGTAATTCATTAGTCAAGACCAATCGATTCCAAAATTATACTACAACCGTTCATGACACTTTGCTCAATTCTATCTAGGTTGTGAACCAATCTTTATTTTACAAGTAACTAATAATATGATCTTCTGCTCATTTGTGATGAACCATATCTATCTAAATGTAAAATAACAGAACGTATAATCATTTAAATAAACATGGTTGTCTTTCAAACGGAAATAAGTTCGTAACAATAAGGCAAGCTTTTAGTTACAAACTAACATTCTCCCACATATACTTAAGACTTTTGCTTTTGCTAGTATACAACTTTCAATCTTATTCTCAAATACCTATGTCGATCCTATCGCTAAACATCTGACTCTCATTCCTTCCACGTCTTTGTCAAAGACTTTCGTTGGTAAACTCTTCATGAGGGGATCTGCTAGGTTGTCCATTGATACTATCTTCGTCGTATCAGTTGGTACTAGCACTCTATGTGTTTACTCGCCTTATGAGATCATGGCTCTTTTTAGTTTTCTACTGCACTACTATTATCAAAGTAAATTGTAATACCTTTGAGGAAACTCAAAACCACATCTAAGTCCAACAGAAAGTTCCTGATCCATACAACCTCTTTTGTTGCTTCAGAAACTGTACATACTCGGCTTCCATGGTAGAGTCCACCGCGCATTTTTGCTTGACACTCCATCATACTATGGCTCCACCTCCCAAAGTAAACATATATCTTGAGGTAGATTTACTTTTGTCTTGGTCTGGCTGGAAGTCATAATTAGTGTACGCCACATGAGTCAATTGGTTAGCCTAGTAGACTAGCATATAGTCCTTGATCCAATTTAGGTACATGAGTATATGCTTCACCGAAGACCAAAGAATGTGTCCTGATTTAGTTTAATACCTGCTTATCATGCCTACCGCATAATACATATCTAGCTTCATACACAACATTGCATACATGAGACTTCTAACTGCCAATGCATAAGGAATCCCTCTCATGTCCTCCATCACTTGATATAGAGTTAAAATCCAATGAAAAATGGTACATAGTGAAGAAATAAGAATAAATTTGTATCATTGGATCCATCAAGTGGACGGTCGTGATCAAGCCAAAGTTTAATAAATGGGAGTCAAATATGCAGTGACAATATTGTAAATAAAAGGACATATTGTGGTCAAATATATACATTTGACAACTCATTAAAGGTAAATTAGATAATTCAAACTCACACAAGTGGACCACACCCAAACCACCTCACCTCTTTCACACACAAACACACACCCAGTGGGACCCACCCAAATTCAACCCTCTCATTCTCTCTCTTGTACAACACATACTCTCACACACAACACACACGCACGCAGAACACACACAAATACACAATACACACAAATTTGCACGCACACACACATATACACACGGTCGCTTTTGTACACACGTCGCTCGCCAACGACCGTCGTTGCCGCCGACAACCATCCTCCTCCGCCTATCGTCGCTCCTGCCACCAGCACCTCCTTCTCCAACCACCGCCGCCACGTCTAACATTTTTTTTTCTCCGGCGATTGAATGATAACACCTAATAAAATTCAGCAATAATCGGAAGGCAAAGCGGCCATAACTCTCCTCCACGCATTCATCTCTAATGGCCCCGACTCTGGCGAGCTGCGTGGCAGGGTTGAAATTGTAATTTTTTTTAGGGACAGAAGAAGGTGTCGGGCGACTTGCAGAGGAGGAAAGAGTTGCGGCGACGGGGCCGTGGCGGCGGGAGGCGTCGACGGGGACTATAGCGGTGGTGATGGTGGTTGTGGCAGCCAGTGGACGTGTTTGACGTGAACAATTTTTGGGAACCGCCACGTCAAACCGGCGGGGATGGCCGGCGGTGATCGTTTCACCAAGTTAGACATCGGAGGCGGCGACCGGCGGCGCTGTTTCGTTTGGGACGGGAGAATTGTGTTTTGGGGGTTGAGGTCCTTCATTGGTGAAATAGATGTGTTTAGGGGACTTATAAGCAATTGTTGACGGACGTTTCCGGTCAACGGTTAAAAAGTCAAATAATGTAAAGAAAACGAAGAAAAGACAAGGAAATACGGTTTAATTACGGTTTTATTAATGGATCACGAGTTCGGCCTCTCGTACGAGGTCGGCACTTGCGATGTACTTATCTTCCTTACAGGAGTTTCTTACAAATTCTTTAGAGAGATAAAATATAAGCTCGAGTAGTTGGGATTTCAACAACCCAAAAATAAATGAGGGGGTTGCTATTTATAGGAGACTTTAATGCGGTACTGTTCAGCGGTCTTGTCGCACAATAG